ACGCCAGGATGTTAGTTGAATGGGATTGAAGCTGTTAAGCATCCCATCATTACGTGCAGTGAGAATTACAGGCTCTTCCTCTGTGATGTTGATGGTGGTCTGTGCCTGAAGATCTTTAGGATATCCAAACCGACCTCCTGTTTGGCATTACGTGTACGCAGGCAATAGGACTCTGAACAGCGAGTGTGTCGTTGGCATGTGGCTATTAAATCAGTCAGATCTTCCTCTAAATCTGTTACTTCTGAGTATGGCTTGTTGCAGATGTGTGGATCAACTTTAGGTGGTGGAGCATCACTGACATTACTGCCATCAGGAAGGACAGCAGGATTGATGGTAGAGATGATCTTGTCAGCGTACTCAATGATCTGTTGTTTAGTTGACTCCACAAGATCAGGTGATGATGAGAGAAGGTCCTCAACATTAGGAGCATTGGGTAGCCAAGCTAGTCCATGTACATGAGAACTGCCCCGATGTTGCCACTCAAACCTCATCCAGTAGTCTGTCGCTTTAAGGTACTTTTGAATGAAATTTTAATATTTTTTTAATTGCTGCCATTTTATAGTAAAGAAAAAGTTGTACAACTTGTGCTATTTTTAAATTTTTACCATGCACTGTTTAGAAGTTATAGATCATTGAACTTTAAATATTTAAGAAAATTCCTGCATAACTTTTCATACTTTATACGCCATCTTTGATCTTGTGTCATTTCTGGATACCTCTGTATATTAAAAAACTAGCGGGAAAAATTAATTGCAAGGTGGGGTTAAGTTATGATTAATAACAGCTTTCACACGAGCCTGCTTATCGTCTGGATCTTCAGGACAGATAAGGCTAGCTAACTCAGGCCACTGGTGATCAGCAGCACTGTGAGTGAAGAAGATGGTGGGCAGTCCTAGAGTGTCAATCATAGCAATAAAATGGTTCCTCTCTCTAAACCAGTACAGCCTGGTACCACGTAAGCTTGCTCCATAATAAACAACTTTATTTGAGAATGATTCTCCTTCACGACCAATCATGTCACGAAGATCATCTATAGTAAGGTGAGCTTCACCAGAATGTTGTCTGATGTAAATTTGACCAGTTTCGTTAGCACGCCATCGCATCTCAGTGTTAAGAGCTAAGAAACGGAACCGAGGGTGCTTAGCGAATCTCCCATTGTCATACTTCATGAGGTGAGTGAAGTAATTGCCAACTGTGACTGAGTTCATACGTATACCATTAAAGTTTGCAGCACCTACATGTTTTAAATAATAATTATTATCAAACACTATTATTATCTTACCAGTAGGAAATAAAGTAGGGAATGCAATTGAGAAGTATCCCTCAGTCTGGAATTCATTGATAGGAGTCCCTCCAATGCTTGGCCACATAAGATGAGATGACTGTGAGTGTCCTAATGATTGTACAGCTTGCTCAATGGTTTCCCTCTGAGTAGCTGGTGGTGCAGCATTACGTACAAATGATGATGAATAATGTTCTTCAGTGGTAAAATCATCTGGTGTTACTTCTTTCTGAGACTCTGCCGGCTGAATTGTGCGAAGGACAGTGAGATCTCTACCTTCGGATAAACTGGCCAATGTGTCCTGATCTACAATGACTCCAATACCCCTGTAATAGATGTTATTAGCCAGCAACCATGTAATGGCTTCTTCAACAGCTCTCCTATGGACACGAAAGTCTCTATGAGTCTGTTCCTTTTCCTTCCGAACAACCAGAATATCTATCTCAGATGGCAGTCTGGGTAACGTCGTAGCAAAACCATGTACATCTTAAGGAAAATTGATGACATGGCCACTGGCCATATTGTCCATGAGGTAACCTGTAAATGGACACAACAGGCATTACAGCAGATATCAGCATTTCCTCTGTTTGACTGAGGCCCTAATAATAACAAAAATAATTTATGCTATAATTAATGAGAAACAAACCTGCAACTGTAGTGGTACTGATCCAGGGTATGTTGTTTGCACTGGAGTACCAATTGGGAATACTCTTGTCACGAGCACATCTACTGCACTCATTGATACCATTTGGCTGAGAGGTGACTGATAGAGTTGGAAATCTTTCTAAACATGTATCACATTTAGCAGAAGTAAGAAATGAAAGACCTTCGTGAAATTTCAACATATTAGATGCATTTTGTTCATGATCCTCTAGTCTCCTACGTTGAGATCTACTTCTTTCACTCGTTAGTCTATGGTCTCTCTGAGCAGGCTCCTCTTCCTCTCTTCTTACTCGAATCCTAGTTCTTTCACCTGCCAGTCGTTGTTCTCTCCCAGCAGGTTCCTCCTGCTCTCTTCTCCGTGTGACTCGAGCTCTTTCACCTGCCACTCGTTGTTCTCTCTCAGCAGGCTCCTCTTGTTCTCTCATCAGTGTAACTCGAGCTCTGTTACCTGCCAGTTGTTGTTCTCTCTCAGCAGGCTCCTCTTGTTCTCTCCTCATTCTTATCCTAGCTCTTTCTTGAGATAATCAATCGTCTGAAGATTCCCCCTTTTGTTTACTTAAAGCGTGACGAGCCCTATCCTTTTCATTTCACTTGGCCTGCCTCGCTTCTTTCTGTTCTTTCGTCTCATTCCTTCTTCTTTCCCGATCACGTTCATTACGAAGAAGACGAGATCTTTATTCTGAAGTACTCATGATAATGTCCTCACAGTATTGATCCACTTAGCACAATGAGAATTAGCACAATGACTGAGAATCAGCACTTGCTAACACGTGTATAAATTACGTAAAATTTGTTATTTTTTAAATAAAACAAAATAAGGTGGTAGTATGGATATATAGGAAATACGGAATACGTACGTGTACATACAAACAAAGAAACGCTGCTCGTCTTAGTGGGGCTCGCCCATGCTCGCCCCAATTATGTACATTTTCTGTTCTTGTTTGCCATTGATTTACATTGATTGAAGTGTATCACTTCACATCAATCTACCACTGGAGGTGATGTGAGAGTGATGCGTATTAATTTGAAACCACTTTCATGTGAACATGATCAATGTGCATTACTTTGGCCAGTGTCAAAATGTCTTATAGATAGCATACCTTATCCTCAGCATTCAGATGTTGCTGCTGTTGAAGAAATTGAGGCAGATAACCATTCAAGGTATTATGATATTACAGCAATTCGCACAGACACCCCACAAAGGGGACTGTTGAAATGGAGGTGTGTTCTTGTATTTTGTGGTCACATTAAACAAACTTCCCCCAACTGGAATCAAGGTCTACGCATATATCTGCAACTATAAAAGATGTTGGATATATACTAGTATAATGTTATGATTTTTGTGTATATTACTAGTTACATGTACATGTATGTTATAAATTTTTTTCAATACTAAATCCAGTGATAGTTTATTATGTGAAGTCCGTCCAATTGGCTGTTATTCTTTTGCGCTATTACAGTCATTATATGTCTTCTTTTCTGCTTCTAAAGCTCATTCTCTATTCTTGAAACATCCAGAAAAGCTACATCCCAATACAACAATGAAACTTCAACACCTGTCTCACAAATGCTGGGCATGCCAATTTTCACATGCCAATGTGGTATGCTACAGATTTGATTGCATCCTTGTTGTATAGCACATGGATCTGATGCTAATAAAGCTGTAGAAACCAGGATACTTTACCAGCAAATCAAATCATTTACGTTTCTCATAACACTTGTGGTTCTTGATAAAACCTTATCTATCAACAAGGGCCTGTAGAAGTTAACTCATTCTACTAACAATTTATTATCATCAATTATCAAGATCGCCAAAGATAACAAAAGAGAGTGATAAATGGAGAAGAACAACAAAGACCAAAAACACGAGAGAGAGAGAGAAAAATATTAATTTATGTTATAGTTCTACTGCGCATAAGTGCATCAGTTATAATGTAATGACTATTA